GATATGAAATTTGTGCACACAAATCTTGTACATTCCAATGCTCAGTGTCAGTGTCAGGAGACAACAATCTCTAATTTTTTTTAAGGCTATGTGCTGCCAACCTGTAAATGTTTTAGAATATGCATTGCCTATCCATTAACATGGCTCTTTGAGAGAAAGAACCTTAGGGTGATTATACAGCCCTGACATTTTATTACTTAATATTAAAATCCCATCAAAATCTCCCATTCAATAACCTGAAAATGAGGTTTGAAAAAGGGAGCACCTGGCAGATCAGACTTTCTGTAATCAAAAAGGCATTTTTTGTGTGTGTGTCAGATGTAGAATAATTATCAACCTGACATGATTCCAGGATGCTGCCCCATTATGGAATTGGACATGTTAGTGATCCAGAAAGATGACTAAGTATGTTGCTCTCCAGCTTAACACCCAATTTAACCTATTCTCATGGGATTCTTCTATTATGCAAAGGAACAGCGAGGCAATTACATGCTCCAAGAGATGAAGACCAGAAACGGTATATTGAGAGACTTGTCATAGTCACCTATTAAAATGGAAACTCAGACCAGATGTTAAGGCACTTCTTTCTCACATAACACCTGGGACAGCATCAACCCAAGGAGCCATCTTAAAGTATTTACGAGAGCCCTTTGGTAACATGGTCTTTGGAAGTCTGTGCCCGATAATGCATAAATATAGGCCTTTCAAGTTTCTGAGGTGTCCTGCAAACCTTACCTCATTTCATAGTTTCACAGATTTAGAGCTGGAAGCACTAACCATCACCTCTGAGATGGTCTAGACCGGTCTCCTCATAAAAAACAACTAGGCGGGACCATGCTAATCCTAGAATCAGGAAGACAGCCTCAGACATTTACTAGCTGTGTGATTCTGGGCAAGATATTTAACCTCTGTCTGCCTCAATTTCCTCATCTGTAAAATGGGGAAAAAAATAGCCAACCAACCATCCGTGAGGATAAAATGAGATATTTGTAAAGTACTTTGCAAACCTCAAAGTACTACAAATGCTAGTTATTATTATTATAGTATCATTATTATTATTATTATTATTATTATTATTATTATTATTCAGATGGGGAGACAAGCTAGAGCAGGTAAGTGATTTTCCCACGGTTGCAAGAAACTAGTGAGGTGGCTACTACAGATATTATTATCCCCATTTTTCATGTCAGGAAACTGAAGGTTATCAAAATTGTAAAATGTCCCAAGAATCACACAGCTCAAATCCAGGCAGGACTTCAACTTAGGTCCTCCCTGGTTCCCAGTCAAATTCTCTATAGACTGAATACATTGCTTTTGCCTGGGATTTAAGATGAGCCAGTAGTATAAGAAATCCTGTTTCACAGTCAAGTGTTAAGAGGGTCTGGCTTATCATCATCATCATCATTATTACTAATATTACTAATAATATTATTACTGATGTTACTAATAATATTATTACTAATAACATCATTCCTCTTTATAACTCACCTGTCCTGTAGATGGATGAATCTTAATAATGAAATTCTCCTTCTGGCTGTAGAATGCTGTTCTGTCTGCTCTTTTACTGCTCCTATTCATAGCACTCTACGATATATCTGGTAGGGACCTTAGATGTCATCTAGTAAAACCTCCCCATCTCGAGTATCAGGAAACTGAGGCCCAGAGTGGGGAACAAGACCAGATTTGCAAAGATAGTAAACAGCCCAGCTAGTATTCGAACCCAGGTTCTCAGGATCCAAATCTGCTGTTCTCCCATGCTATCACAGGGCCTTCCCTTTATTGTGAAGAATGACATTGAGAGATATGCATTTTAGGCATTTTTAGGCATTATATAGATGTAGAGTACCTCCACATACATGACCACATCTGGTCCTTCACAGAACCCTATGGGGTATAGAGTACAAATGTGATTGTGCCCATTTTATAGATGTGGAAAGTGAATGGTCAGTGATGTATGGTAATGAACTGATCAAGTAAACTCCAGTTGTCCAAACCCATGGGTTAGAGAATAGATAAGATAAACCATTAGGTTTAAGAAGCCCTCTGCTTGATGACATCATGGGGACTGGGGTGGGAGATGGCAGAGCAATAAATGACTTTCATGATCTACTGGGACTTTTTGTTTTGTTGGTTTTGGTTTTTTGAGACTGGGTCTCGCTATCTTACCTATTAAGGAAGTGCAGAGGCTGAATCCTAATTTTGATCAGTAGGAATCTTTAACGAGCTCCATTTTTCTGACCTGGGCTGGTTTACCTCTCCTTAGGCAGCCTGGTGGCCCTACACTCCTTGGGGCTCGCCACATTGGTACCAGACGATGCAGACACAGTTCTACTACAGCTCAGGTCTCCTGAACTCATGGGATCCTCCAGCCTTAACCTCACCAGTTACCAGGATTATAAGCATGTGCCACCATACCCAACCTCCCATGACCTGTTATAGACAATATTACCTTATTACTATATGTCAAACAAGACTGAATAGCCCCCATTTGGTTTGGTCAAGACAAGGATGGAAGTGGAAGAAAGGGTAGGGAGGGTGTCATACAAGGAGTAATTAAATACAGGTAGGTGGGAGGTAGAAATAAGTTATTGAAGTGGTTTACAGATAGGTGTTAATAACAATACCCCACAGCTTTCTATCTTCCAAAGCATTCTTGCTAACAAGCACCCAGTTCAGTTATTTCCACGTGGTAAAGCAGTTCATGTGTTCAATTATTGTGCCCTCTAAATTGCAGTTGCTGGAGAAGAACCTTGGTGATGATACCCTTGTTACAGCATTGGTTGCCAGTGCCACTTGAAAACTCAAAGGAATCAGTAACCATGGGGTACCCAACCACAGCTGGCTGCCTGTGAGATGTGAGCAGGGAATCCAGGGGGAGAGTGAACAGGGAAGGTGTTTTCCCCTACGAGGTCTAAGAAAAGCTAGATAACAGGGAATCAATGGACTGGGCATCACTGAGCAGTAGAGTTTATATGAAAATAACATGTCTTCCTCTTCACCCATGTTCAAAATGTTCTGTTCTGCATTGTTAAGAATTAACATTTTTCTTCAAATAATTACTTTTAATTAAGGCATTAAAATAGATTCAATTCATAGAATCATAGATTTAAGCTAGAAGAGATCTCAGAGACCATTTAGTCCAACTTCCCTCATTTTTTGAGTCATTTTTCAGTTGTGTCCAACTCATGTAGCTCCATTTGGGGTTTTCATGGCAAAGATACTGGAGTGGTGCACCATTGCCTTCTCCAACTCATTTTACAGATGAAGAAACTGAGGCAAACAGGGTTAAGCGACTTGCCCAAGGTCACACAGTTAGTAAGTACCTGAGGCTAGATGGAGATGATCCTGATTCAAAGCCCAGCGCTCTAACCGCTGTGCAACCTAGCTGCCCTCTCCTCATTGTACAGATTTGGAAACTGAGACCCAGAGAGATAGTGAGACCAAGTCCTCTCATTCCAAATCCATCCCCCTTTTCACTATGCCATAAAACCCCTATAATTAAATGTAAGTGAAGATTTTATAAAGCTTAGAAGGAAATGGAGGGATTGAGAGTTAGCTAGTATTCCAATGTCTGATCCTTCTCTTTGAGGGCTTCATAAAGAAGCATAGCTCCCAGGAGACGGTTAAAGGAGGACCGAGAAAGTTCATAATAGAATAGAAACAGTAGCCTCCAAAGACGGTTTGAGATCAGAGCATCTCTGTGGGAAATGATTCTATGTGTTTTGACATTCAGAGAAGTGCTTTGGAGTAATCCCACATTTAAAACAACAACAATGCTCTGTATCATCCTTTTCAGTCTCAATGGACACACACACACACACACACACACACACACACACACACAATTTTGGAAGTTCCTGTAAGAGTAAAGTATCACTTCACTAGAGTGTTCCTTTTTCAGAAGGTTCACCCCAACAGACAAATAGCAGAGTGGATAGGAAGGGATATCATACCAGGCATAGTGAGTAGCTGTTTCCTATTTCCATCAAGGACCAGATAAGAGGAAACAGGTCTAAGTACACCACAGTGGGCTTAGTTCACATATTTATCAGAAGCCCATGAATACAAAAGTTATGGGACACTAGAATCATCTGCTAGGCAGGTTGAACCCCACCCCACCTGCTCCCCCATGATTTACAGAATATAGAAGAAAACCAGCTTCCTGAAGTGTTTTAAAGAGGGGGGAGGAGGGAAGTGTTTTCTAAAAGTACTTCACAGTCCTGTGAACCTAGGAATACCAAAAAAATTAAATCTCTATGGAAAAAAAAAACCAATAAGCATCCTTCACCTGCTTTGCTGAATTTCCTTACCACTCCCCAATCTCCTTAGTTTTTCCTGGAGGCATAGTGGATAGACAGAGATGGTCTCTGAGTCCAAAGCCCTTTGGGGTTCAAGTCTGGCCTCTGACACATAGTAGCTGTGTGACCCTGGGCAATTCGCTTAACCTCAATCTACTCTTGCTGCAAAGCAGATGCAGATCTGCATTGGTAAAGGGAGTTTTCTTATCAGGAGTTTCTTACATCAATAAAATCACAAGTCTGGGCTAATAATGATAGCAATAAATAATAATAAAAAACCACAATTTATCTAGCATTTAAATTTTTACAAAGAGCTTTTCTCACAACCATCTTATAAAGTAACTAGTGTAGGTACTGTGACCATTTTACAGATGTGAAGCCTGAGGCTCAGAGAATTTTAATGACTTGCCCAGGGTCACATAGCTGTGCAGGAGCCAGAGCTTGCACTTCTGCTTTCCTAACTCTTTCGACTACACCCTGTTGCCTTTTCTATAGAAGCATGGTGTTCATATGTAGGGATTCCTCATGCATCATGTATGACAACCACAATAGGAACTTATTACATCTGATACTTTTAAAATAGGGCATGCCAGCATTCAATATTAAATGCCAACTAGGGGTGGGGAATATGTTTCTTTTATTTAAGAGAAATGATTTAGAGACTAGTGAAATTTCCAATATGAGTAAGAAGCTAATACAAACCAGGATCGCAGAGACACTTATAGCTCGTCCCAACGCTGCGGCATGTTCCATGGGCACAAGGATTCAGGGCACAGAAGTCGATCAGCTGGGCACACGTGGGTCCGGTGAATCCCGCACTACAGCTGCAGGTAAAGTGAGCCCGGGCAGCGTAGCACGTCCCGTTATTCTGGCAGGGCAACGAGACGCACGGATCTACTTTCTCTTCACAAGACGGTCCAGAATATTCTAGGAGAAACGAAAGATGGATTTTTCCCTTTTTAAAATTCAAATAAATTCCCAAGTAGACAAATTCAGACCATGTCAATGAAAATACCTATTTTGTGTATATTTCTTCTGCCTTTCATATGTTGTACATGTAGTTTCCATAGTTTTCTGCAAAAACCAGAGATGCAGGGGAAGCCACATGGCCCTGTGATTCAGAGGATGTGGATTTGGGTCCCAGATCTGGGGCAGCTAGGGGGAGCTGTGAGAGAGTACTGGGCTTGCAGTCCGAAAGACCTAAGTTCAAATCCAGCCTAAGACACTTACTAGCTTAACTTTACCCTGTCTACCTCAGTCTCCCCATCTGTAAAATGGGAATAATCTAGTACCTACTTGCCACTGTTGTGAGGATCAATGAGATAATAATTTGAAAGTGCTTAGCACAGTGCCTGGCATGTAGTAAGTGCTATACAAATATTAGCTATCATTATTACCTGACACTTCATAGCTGGGTGACCATGTAAAAGTCCCTTATTTAACTGCTTTAAATCTCAGTTCTCTTCCCTATAAAATGGGGATAGAGGCATACGACGTGCTTCATGGGGTCAATGTAAGGAAAGAATCTGTAAACCTGAAGACAGGGGGTTCTTAGCCTTTTTTGTGTGTCATGGCCCCCTCTGGCAGTTGGGTGAAGCCTGTGAACCCCTTTTCAGAATAATATTTTCAAATAATTGAAGGAAATTCTAAACTTTAAGTTAGAGGTTAGTGAAAACAAAGGTGCCGTTTCTTTTCCCCATCCAGTTTCATGTATGCTCTGAAATCAATCCGCAGTTCCCTTTAGGTGCTTTGTAAATACTTACATTAGCATATGTAATAATAATAATAACAATAATACTTATATAGTACTTTAAGATTTCTAAAGCGTACATAATGAAATCCTTTAAGTGTTAAAAATATTTCCCCAAAAAGAAGTTGATTTCTCATGGAATTTTAGAGCCAGGAAGAGCTGGCTTCAAAAGTCTGGCCTCTGACACGCAGTGGCCATGTGACCCTCCACCTATGTCCATCAAAATCAGATCTCCAGGGGGGCAGCTAGGTGGTGCAGTGGATAGAGCACCGGCTCTGGAGTCAGGAGGACCTGAGTTCAAATCCGGTCTCAGACTAGGCACTTGACACTTACTAGCAGTGTGACCCTGGGTAAGTCACTTAACCCCCAATTGCCTTACCCCCCTCAAAAAAAAATCAGATCTCTAGAACTAGAAGTATTAGAGGTGATCTACTCTGATCCATTATTATTATTATTATTATTATTATTATTATTATTATTATTATTATTATTATTATTGGCTAGGCAATGGGGTTAAGTGACTTGCCCAGGGTCACACAGCTAGTGAGTGTTATGTGTCTGAGGTCGGATTTGAACTCAGGTCCTCCTGGATCCAAGGCCGGTGCTCTATCCACTGTGCCACCTAGCTGCCCCTCTGATCCATTATTTTACAGAAGCAAAAACAGGCCCAAAGTAGAAAAGAGACCACATAGCTAAGAAGCAAGAAGATAGAGAAATAGGTTGTCTAACCATTAGCTAGCATTCTTCTCTGTATAACATTTCTTTGCGTCTTGTGCGTCAAGAAGTTCAGTTAGAAGCATCCCACTCCAACTGGGCCAACCATATCTAACTGATGCTCACACAGCTGCTAATAGTCCCATCCCCAAGCAGAAGGACATTGCTCCTGGATTCCCCATCTTCCACATTAGGAATTCTGGTCAAATGCACAAAGGAGGTGTATCAATCAGTGGAACATGGCGGTGCTCAGAGTTCTATGATAATGGTTTTGAGAGGTAGTGATCAGTCTCATTCTACCAGCTGGTTCTGTTTGATTAATAAGAATGAGGAGAATATCTAACTAATGCAAAGTAGGCTTTCACCTTAAAATATTTTCTCATATTAAATATTTTTCAGTTAAATATTGCATGCTCTAAGCACATCTGACTCTTTGACTGATGCTGTTAAAAGGGAAAAAAAATGGCCTGAAATGACTACAAATCACCAACGCTTCAGAAATTGTAAAAAACAATTTTTTTCAAATGTTGTTCATATTATGTGTCTATCGGCTTCCTGTTTAATTTTCCTGATCTCAGCTTGAGCCCTATCTCACCCTTCTCACTCAAAGCTCCTGGTGATAGTAAATGTAGAAGGCTGCATAGGAAACAGATGGAGCAAATACAAATTCACTTCCTCTCTCCGCCATACACATTGGCATGAGAGACTTGCTATTTTTCTGTATGGAGACACCAAACCTGGCGCTATTAAGGATTTTATGAAGATCCCAGCATTAAAGTTTGGAAAGCAGACAAATAAATTATCATGTAATCAGTTTCTAAAGGATGTGACATTTTCTGAATGGGATGTGATTCCATCCTTTATAATGGCTAGCCATTTTTCAACATTCACTTTTATAAGATTTTGAGTTCCAAATTTTTTCTCCCTCCCTCCCTTACCTCCCCTCTCCCAAAGATGGCAAGCAATCTGATATTGGCTATACATGTGCAATCATATTAAACATATTTCCACATTACTCATGTGGAGAAGAATCAGAACAAAAGGGAAAAACCATGAGAAAGAAAAAAAAAGTGAAAAGAGTATGCTTCAATCTGCATTCAGACTCCAAAACTCTTTCTCTGGATGTGGATAGCATTTTCCATCTTTTGGAATTGTCTTAGATCGTTGTATTGCTGAGAAGAGCTAAGTCTATCAAAATCAGTCATTGCACCCTGTTGCTGTTACTATGTGCAATGTTCTCCTAGCTCTGCTCACTTCACTAAGCATCAGTTCATGTAAATCTTTTCAGGTTTTTCTGAAATCCACCTGTTCATCATTTTTATAGCACAATATTTTTCCATTACATTCATATACCATAACTTGTTCAGCCATTTCCCAATTGGTGGGCATCCCCTCAATTTCTAATTCTTTGCCTAGGTAGCCATTTTTTCTGAAAATAAGACATTCATATGGCCATCACTATTTGATGGCATTATTAATTTTCTTATCTTTCTTTAGGAAATTTTATAAACAGGATAATTTCAAAAACAAAATACAATAGCCCAGTTCTAACAATCTCTTTCCTGTACATATTCCTTCTTTAGGTAGACTACAGAATGCCAGCACCACCAAGTGAAAAGTGAAAAATTCTTTCAACCCTCTCATTATTTGATTTGTCCGACATCTACATAGATACAGATATAGATGAATAGATGAATAAATAAATGGGTAAAAGATATAGATAAGTAAATGGATAGAGATAGATGAACAAATTGATAGGTAAGATAGATTAATAAATAAATGCATAGAGATAGAAAGACAGGTGAATGATTAAGCAAAAAATGCATGCATGCATACATGCATACATACATACACAGATCATGCTTTAAAAAAACAAACTGATTTAGGTCCTGAATTGACAATCTCATGAGAAAAAGGTATAATCTCATGTTGCCTTTGTATAACAATGACTTACTTCTGAGACATTCAAATGTGAGTTTTTACATATATATATATATATATATTATATATATATATATATATATATATACACCTTTTGACCTGATTTGAGAGTTTCTCATAATGGATTCTCTCAGTCCAAGAGACTGCAACAGCAGAGACCATGATGAAATAATTAAGAGTTCCTAGAGAAGCATATGGCAAAGGCAGACATATGCTTAGATAAGTGATTAGAGAAGGCATACATCAGTAGTGTACCTGAACCCTAAACTTCTGTACAAAATGGAGGATAATGCAGCATTACCACAGAACCTGGACCTCAAGCCAAGAAGGGAAATTTCTTGGGCAGAATCAACTTTGTAAGCTTCCTGAAGAGCAGCCTCAGGTTTGGGAGTTTCTAAGCAAAATAAGAAAAGTGACATCCACATGACCCCTTTAGCTGAAAGACTAAAGTTATGACATTGGAAGAACAGACATATCATGCCCCACAATCACCATTAGTGATGCAGAGAGTACATGTCCAACAATAAGGAGGCTACTATTTGGCATCCCCAAAGTACATTTGCTTTCCATTAAGAATGCAAAATACAGAACAGCATTACGAGTCTTAAGGAAAGTCTGTAGGACCTTGCAAGGAAAATAGATTCATCAGTCAGATCACAGCCCCGCTGACAATGCCAATTTCAGTTACAACTGTCAGTCTGTGCCTTTTATAAGGAAGATCTAGCTGCATTCAGAAAAGCCAACTAGAGGGTAATGAAGCTGTTGCTAAGGGCACCTCTCAAAGACCATCTCCTAATTTAGACAGGGGCTGTGATCTGAGTTTATAGAAGTAAGTAGCCTTATCAAGGACATCACAGATCCTTGAAGCAGAATTTGTATGTAGAAATTACTACGTCAGCCACAAGGCTTATGCAAGCTCAGCTTCCTTGTGTGACAAGGTAAAGCTCTGGCTCCAGATCTTGTCAGAAGCAAGACATGAAAGTGGGAATTCCTATTCCAAAGCCAGTCCTCTACAATACTATGCCACCTCCCTAAATGTGTTAATTTAGAATGAGAAATGCAGCACTGTTTTAGATGATGTTCCAATAATAAACCTGGAAACCTTATCAACAAGGGTAATACTTCTAAAAGAAACTATGAATTACTGCCATCAAAGAATGTCTTTGACAAGCAAGTTTCATAGGACAGATTTCAGGGCTCTTCTCTCCTCAGTAGGATGTTCTTCCTGACTTCATCCTAAATTTTCCTGGCTTTAGATTTCTGTCTGGGATTTGGTTCCCACCTCCTACCTCTCCCCTCGGATAAAGTATTCCTAGTGAAATTTGGCTTGGCTTGACATTGGCCCTAGCGCACTGCCTCAAATTATGGATTCAACCATATCTCCATTTCCCAAGAAGCATTTTTTCCTCTCACTCTTATTTACAAAGGCAAAGCAGACCCCATTCTTCTCCCTACTCCTGGGAGGTGGGAGTCACATAAAGATATTTAAAATTCTTTGCTTTGAAAGTAAGTGTAAGGCAGT